CGCACACATGACGAACGTGCATTGCAGCAACCAATGCAGGCACACGCAACGCAGGGCGTGCGGGTCGTCAGTCTAAGCCAAGGTAACACAACACACAACAACGCCAGTATGATGGTTGGACGGCAAAGCAAAACAGAAGCAGAGTGAGTCGCAAAAAAAGGGACAAGAAAGACAGGGTGGAGGGAGGAGGAGGGCAGAGGAGGCAGGCGAGGAAGAGGTGCGTGCACACAACGACCGACAGATAGTCAGACAAGCAAACAAACAAACCAAACAAACAAACCAAACAAACAAACAAACAAAACAAACAAACACACAAAACAGCAGCATCAAGAGCCGGCCACATCTGCGACCTGGCAGCGTTCTGCGGCGACGTGTGTGGTGCGACGCAAATGCACTTGGTCAACAAACAGTTCTGGAATGTCGGGCTCAATGCGCGCAAAGTCCTCCTCATCCATGGTGGCTATCGCCTCCAGGCACCGGTCTGTGAGCGTGGGCTGAAGCGGGCAGCAGCGGTAGAGCGTGTTGTGCATGCCGTGCTGTGGCAGCGCCGTCTGCGAGCCGCCAAAGTAGTACACGTACGGCTCAACGTACACGGACGCGTGCCACAGGTTGTGGCCGTGGTCCGGCAGCCGCTCCACGTGGCGGTTGCGCAAGTCAATGACATATGTGTCTGCGAGCACCTGCCTGTCCTTGTTGAGGCCGCCCTGCAGGAACATGTGGTGCGGGGGAACAAACGTGGCGCACTGCCACGAGCGCACGGGGATGGTTGGCCCCGTCAGTTCCCAGGGCCCGCTCCAGTGCATGGTGGGCAGGTGCAGGCTGTGCACGTCGTTGGTGCGACTGGGCTGCGTGCGCCCGCCAAACACGACCATCGTGTCCCCATACAGCGCCGTGGAGTGCGCGGCCCGCGGCGCTGGCGGGGTGCCCGTTGGCGCCTCCTCACGCCACGTGAGCGTGATGTTCGACTCGCCGTCCCAGGCGTCCAGCGGAGTGAGGTCGAGCGAGTGCATGGTGTTGGTCCACCCGCAGCTCATGGGCGCGTCCTCCTCCACGCCCGCGCGAACGAAGCCCTCTGCCTCCGGCACGTCCGAGCCCCAGCCGCCAAACACGTACATGCGGCCCTGGTAGCACACGGCGGTGTGCTTATCGCGCGGGTGGGGCAGCGGGCCCTGGATGGTGATGGTGGAGCGTTCATCGTGGAGCACCTGCCGGTGCACGTCCACAATCAAGACGTCCCGTGTGTGCGAGCTGCCCCAAAAGGACACAAACCCACCAAAGATGACCAGGTACCGGTCCATGTACACGGTGACGGATGCGCCCGTGCGTTGCAGGCGAGCCGTGGGGCCCCGCAACGGGAGGCGGTACCACGCAGACTTGGCCCAGTCGAAGCCGAGAAACTCCTGGTTCGCGCCGCCCAGGGACCGGAAGGATCCCCCAACGCTCAGCAGCCGACCGGCGACAAGCACTAGCGCATGCCCAACGCGCCCTTTTGGTGGAACGACGGCGTTGACGCGCATCGGCTCGCCGGCACGTGTAAGTGCCACGGACGCCGACCTCAACACCTGTTGTGGTTGCTGTTGTACTTGCTGTTGCTGTTGTGCTTGTGGTGCTTCTTGCTGTTGTGCTTGCGTTTGTGCTTGCGTTTGTGGTGCTTGTTGTGGGTCTTCTGCAGCGCGGGGGGCAGGCGCTGCTTGTGCAGGATGTGGAGGGTGGGGTGCGCGGACGACTGTGGGAGGCAACCGGCGTTGCAGCGGCGGAATCATTCTTCGTCGTCGCTGAAGCTGCGCCTCCACAGACTCGCCTTCCTGTGGCTCCGCGGTTTGTGGACTCTGTGCACGACGCATGGCCGGGTTGGCCCTTCTGCGGCGCATCCACAATGGCTCTTCAAAGGGCTCAGCCAGCGGTTCTGCTCGAAGTCGCGCTCGTGGCGGTGCCGGTGGCTGGTCCTCGCGCTCCTCCTCACGAAGCCAATCCTCGCCAAGCTCCATGTCGCCCGGGTCGGCCCTCCTCGGCTCTCCCATCTGGCGCATCAACCACACCATGCGATCCATGGTGGTGGGAGTGGTCGTCGAAGAAAGGAAGTTTGTGGAAGTCAAGCAAGCGTAACCCGTGAGCGAGCAAGAGCACGGAGGAGGAGGGGGGGATTAGGTCGGCGCGGGCGAGTGAACAATTGTCAACAAAGGAAGGGAGGGGTGTTGGTGTTGCTCGGTTGCTTGGATGGCGAGCGCAAGCAAGCAGGCAAGCAAGCAAGCAACAAGCGCGAGCACAAGCGAGCGAACGATGGACGGTAACAAGCAGATGGTTTGTTGGTTTGGTTTGGGAACTGCAGGCGCGAAAAATAGGCGATGATATTGCCATTTCTCCTCTAACACGACAGGTGCGTGGAGGGTGGTGCAAAAGATGAAAGTGAGAGAGAGTGTGTGTGTGTGTGTGAGTGAGTGTGTATGTATGTTGTGTGTGCATGTGTGTGTGTCTGTGTGTGTGGTGTGTGTGTCTGTGTCTGTGTATGTTGTGTGTGCATGTGTGTGTGCATGTGTGTGTGAGTGTGTGTGTGCTGTGCGCAGTGGCATGGACATTGCCACGTTTGCGTTCTTCGCGACACACACACACATTCCCCCCAGCAGCCATACACACACACACACACACACACACACACACACGCACACGCACATATGTCGTTTACTCCACCGACCTAACCC